ATGAGTAGTGGGGGGGTTGAAGAGGGTTAGAATAGTTTTAAAAATGCAGTATTAGAATGTGGGGCAGAAATTTGTGGTTATAGGAGGGTGGGTGCAGGAGGAAAGAGGAATAATTGGTGGAATGATGACGTAAAGGTTGTGATAAAAGAGAAAAAGTTAACTTATGAGAAGTTTTTACAAAGCAGAAGTGTTATAAGAAGAGTAGAGTATATGGAGAGTAAAAGAAAGGTGAAGAGAGTGGTGAGAGAGTGCAAAAGGAGAGGAGATGATAGAGTGGGAGAGGCACTGTCAAGGAATTTTAATGAAAATAAGAAAAAAATTTGGAGTGAGTTAAACAAGTTAAGAAAGCCTAGAGAACGAATGGTTTTGCCAATTAAAAACAGAGTAGGGGAGTTAGTAGATGGGGAGATGGAGGTTTTGGGTAGATGACGAGAATATTTTGAGGAACTTTTAAATGTCGACGAAGAAAGGGAAGCAGTAATTTCCTGCACTGGCCAGGGAGGTATACCATCTTTTAGGAGTGAAGAACTGGATGTGAGTGTGGGAGAGGTGCGTGAGGCACTACATAGAAAGAAAGGGGGTAAAGCAACTTGAACTGACGGGATCATGACACAAATGTTAAAAGCAGGGGGGATATAGGGTTGGAGTGGTTGGTATTTTTGTATAATAAATGTATGAAAGAGGGGAAGGTACCTAGGGATTGGCAGAGAGCATGTATACTCCCTTTATATAAAGGGAAGGGGGACAAGAGATATTGTAAAAATTATAGAGGAATAAGTTTACTGAGTACAATACCAGGAAAAGTGTACGGTAGGGTTATAATTGAAAGAATTAGAGGTAAGACAGAATGTAGGATTGCAGATGAGCAGGGAGGTTTCAGAGTGGGTAGGGGATGTGTAAATCAAGTGTTTACATTGAAGCATATATGTGAACAGTATTTAGATAAAGGTAGGGAAGCTTTTATTGCATTTATGGATTTAGAAAAGGCATATGATAGAGTGGATAGGGGAGCAATGTGGCAGATGTTGCAAGTATATGGAATAGGTGGTAAGTTACTAAATGCTGTAAAGAGTTTTTATGAGGATAGTGAGGCTCAGGTTAGGGTGTGTAGAAGAGAGGGAGACTACTTCCCAGTAAAAGTAGGTCTTAGACAGGGATGTGTAATGTCATCATGGTTGTTTAATATATTTATAGATGGGGTTGTAAAAGAAGTAAATGCTAGGGTGTTCGGGAGAGGGGTGGGATTAAATTATGGGGAATTAAATACAAAATGGGAATTGACACAGTTGCTTTTTGCTGATGATACTGTGCTTATGGGAGATTCTAAAGAAAAATTGCAAAGATTAGTGGATGAGTTTAAGAGGGTGTGTAAAGGTAGAAAGTTGAAAGTGAACATAGAAAAGTGTAAGGTGATGAGGGTATCAAAGGATTTAGATAAAGAAAAATTAGATACGTATTAAATTGAAGAGAATGGAGAGAATGGAGCGAAACAGAATAACTTCAAGAGTGTATCAGTCTGTAGTGGAAGGAAGGTGGGGTAGGGGTCGGCCTACGAAAGGTTGGAGGGAGGGGGTAAAGGAGGTTTTGTGTGCGAGGGGCTTGGACTTCCAGCAGGCGTGCGTGAGCGTGTTTGATAGGAGTGAATGGAGACGAATGGTTTTTAATACTTGACGTGCTGTTGGAGTGTGAGCAAAATAACATTTATGAAGGGATTCAGGGAAACCGGCAGGCCGGACTTGAGTCCTGGAGATGGGAAGTACAGTGCCTGCACTTGAAGGAGGGGTGTTAATGTTGCAGTTTAAAAAATGTAGTGTAAAGCACCCTTCTGGCAAGACAGTGATGGAGTGAATGATGGTGAAAGTTTTTCTTTTTCGGGCCACCCTGCCTTGGTGGGAATCGGCCGGTGTGATAATAAAAAAAAATAAAATATAAATATATATATATATATATATTTTTTTTTTTTTTTTTTTTTTTTTTAACAAGTCGGCCGTCTCCCACCGAGGCAGGGTGACCCAAAAAAGAAAAGAAAATCCCCAAAAAGAAAATACTTTCATCATCATTCAACACTTTCACCACACTCGCACATTATCACTGTTTTTGCAGAGGTGCTCAGAACACAACAGTCTAGAAGCATACACATATAAAGATACACAACATATCCCTCCAAACTGCCAATATCCCAAACCCTCCTTTAAAGTGCAGGCATTGTACTTCCCATTTCCAGGACTCAAGTCCGACTATATGAAAATAAACCGGTTTCCCTGAATCCCTTCACTAAATATTACCTGCTCACACTCCAACAGATCGTCAGGTCCCAAGTACCATTCGTTTTCCATTCACTCCTATCTAACACGCTCACGCACGCTTGCTGGAAGTCCAAGCCCCTTGCCCACAAAACCTCCTTTACCCCCTCTCTCCAACCCTTTCGAGGACGACCCCTACCCCGCCTTCCTTCCCCTATAGATTTATATGCTTTCCATGTCATTCTACTTTGATCCATTCTCTCTAAATGACCAAACCACCTCAACAACCCCTCTTCTGCCCTCTGACTAATACTTTTATTAACTCCACACCTTCTCCTAATTTCCACACTCCGAATTTTCTGCATAATATTTACACCACACATTGCCCTTAAACAAACATACATACATACATATATATATATATATATATATATATATATATATATATATATATATATATATATATATATATATATATATATATATATATATATATATTATCATACATACATACATACTAATACATACATACATACATACATACATACATATCCTAGGTAGTAGGTTGGTAGACAGCAACCGCCCAGGGAGGTACTACCGTCCTGCCAAGTGAGTGTAAAACGAAAGCCTGTAATTGTTTTACATGATGGTAGGATTGCTGGTGTCCTTTTTTCTGTCTCATGAACATGCAAGATTTCAGGTACGTCTTGCTACTTCTACTTACACTTAGGTCACACTACACATACATGTACAAGCACATATATACACACCCCTCTGGGTTTTCTTCTATTTTCTTTCTAGTTCTTATTCTTGTTTATTTCCTCTTATCTCCATGGGGAAGTGGAACAGAATTCTTCCTCCGTAAGCCATGCGTGTTGTAAGAGGCAACTAAAATGCCGGGAGCAAGGGGCTAGTAACCTCTTCTCCTGTATATATTACTAAATGTAAAAGGAGAAACTTTCGTTTTTCCTTTTGGGCCACCCCGCCTCGGTGGGATACGGCCGGTGTGTTGAAAGAAAGAAAGAAGAAGAAGATATATATATATATATATATATATATATATATATATATTATATATATATATATACATACATACATACATACATACATACATACATACATACATACATACATATCCTAGGTAGTAGGTTGGTAGACAGCAACCGCCCAGGGAGGTACTACCGTCCTGCCAAGTGAATGTAAAACTGAAGCCTGTAACTGTTTTACACGATGGTAGGATTGCTGGTGTCTTTTTTTTTCTGTCTCATACACATGCAAGATTTCAGGTAATATCTTGCTACTTCTACTTACACTTAGGTCACACTACACATACATGTACAAGCATATATATACACACCCTTCTGGGTTTTCTTCTATTTTCTTTCTAGTTCTTATTCTTGTTTATTTCCTCTTATCTCCATGGGGAAGTGGAACAGAATTCTTCCTCCGTAAGCCATGCGTGTTGTAAGAGGCGACTAAAATGCCGGGAGCAAGGGGCTAGTAACCTCTTCTCCTGTATATATTACTAAATGTAAAAGGAGAAACTTTCGTTTTTCCTTTTGGGCCACCCCGCCTCGGTGGGATACGGCCGGTGTGTTGAAAGAAAGAAGATATATATATATATATATATATATATATATATATATTATATATATATATATATATATATACACATGTATATATATATATATATATATATAGTTATAGTTATAGTTATAGTGCTTTTGTTTTGTCAGAAAATGTCATTAGTGTGACTTGCAATGAGTGAAGGCTTATTATTTATTTAAATAATGTTTTCAGAAATTGAACTGTGGTTCCTGAACTGCATGTCTGAAAAATGAATTACCTGTGGGATGCCTCCCCATGCCCTGGGTTTTGTCATATTTGATTTAAGATTTGTTTTAGTGCATATAGTTTGTCATGTCTACATCTTCTATACTGTATTTCACTGTTTTTAGTTCTGCATACTGTGGAAATTTCTCCTAGTGTAGCTTGCTCATTCATCTGTTCAGCCCTCTCATTGTGGTCCCCCATTAACTTTTGATGCAACATTCATGGCTCTGCCTTTAAATCCTCAAACACCTGGCATTATCCCAAATTACTGAAGTGCTAAAAGGGATATTTTATTTATTTCTGGCCCTCGGTCCAAACTCTGAAATAATTATTATATACATAAGTAGTTGCCAAACTATAAATGGTCATACGACTCCTGGGAAATGGAAAGTAATCAAGTTTGATCAAAGCAAGGGGAGGCTAGCTCCAATTTTTTTTTTTACACGCTAGCCATCTCCCACTAAGGCAGAGTGACCCGAATCAGAAAAAACTTTAGTCATCATTCACTCATCACTCTCTTGACAGAGGTGCAGCAATACTACAGTTCAGATGCTCCTCCAGACTGCAAACATCCCCATCCCTCCTTCATAGTACAGGTGCTGTACTTCCAGTATCATTGTACTTTTGTGTGTTTAAAGAAGGAATACATGTATTAGTAACAATTGTAGTGCAAGCTTAAATTTATTTCAGCCCTGCTTTAGTACACAGATAATCCACACATAGGAGGAAGAAACTTACAATGATGTTTCGGTCCAACTTGGACCATTAACTAGTGACTAGTTATGGTCCAAGTTGCATTGAAATGCCACAAGTTTTTTCTATGTGCAGGTTGTTTGTGTATTGTTCCAGTCATCGTATTGTACCTTTTTGTTCTTTCTGCTTTAGTGGTAATAAAAGTGCCTCACTGAACTTGCTATCCAACAGACGATACACCCGATGGTTTGGTGATGAGCACACAGCAGCACAGGAGATGGCAGCTTATGCTCTTCACTGGTATAAGCAATGGGAGAATGATATTGATGCTTGGCAAAACCCTATCCTTCAGGATAAGTACGTTAAGTAATTTCCATAAGTGTGGTGTCAGAGTATATGTTCATATTACCTGATGCTGAAAGCACCTGTTTCTGATATTGCAGTCCATTTTTTTTTTTTAAGTATTTACATAATATCTGCTTATTTGTATGTAAGTTTGTTTAGTAATTAGCTTATAGTAAGCACCATACATATTTTTTTCTACAAGTACATGTACAAGATATACAGGCCTAGCTGACATCAGTGACATACTACTACATAGAAAGCCACTTGTTATGCAGAGCATTTCAGGCAAATTAAGTTCGTTTTGTCCCAGGATGCAACCCACACTAGTCAACTAACACCCAAGTACCCATTATTACTGATGGGTGAACATTGACAACCAGTGTAAGGACACACACTCAGTGTTTCCACCTGTTTGCTGGGGTAGAATCCTGCCATAGCTCTAAGTGCTCTCAGCCTTTTTCTGTATTGGCAACAAAGTCTGGTTATAAGAAGTCCTAACAGAAAAACCTTAAATCTGAGTGAATTGGTGCAATAAACACTATATAACACAGAAATTCACATTGAGATGGAAGAGAATGCAGGGTGAAGTGATATGTATACTTTAGCCTGTAACTGAGATTCTCTTCGACAGGCATTGAACTACAGCTATCTCTTATTTAGGTCATTTTAATATAAACTTTACACTCTGAGTAAAGGCTTAAAACAGATTACTTACAGTTTGGTAATTAGCGAACCAAAGTTAAGATCGCTATAACAAATCAAAATTACTTCAAATAAGTTAAACTTTAGACACTCATAGACCAAAATGCTTGAACAGTGTTATTACAATTTGGTTTCACTTGTACTAATGGTCAGGTCATAGTTCTGGGTCTGACATTGCTGATCATTTCTTTCCACAGCGAGTGTATTCTGTGGCACAGTTCACCATTATGTTACATTTATATATTAACTCTTGATATGTGTCCTCTAGCTTATAATTTTTTGTAGTACAGTATTCATGCCTATAGCAAAACACAGCTGAAGTTTGGATTGGGAACAGTAAACAATTGTTTAAGGTCACAATTCATGAAACTTTAGAAAATTAATCATGTGTTCATGATTGCAAGATTGCTGCAGCACTTACAGAGACTTATTGCTACATGTGTTTGAGAAGACCATTATATTTGCTTTTGTATTTACCTTATACAACATCCATATACTATATTACAATGAATTGGTTAACAGTTTGTTTGTATACAGGTTAATAAACAGGTCTAATAGTTATGTAAGAAATTTTGGTTAGAATTAAACTAGGACAAAGCTATAAAGGTATTACCATTAACAATTTAATTATAATAAGCAGCTTTCAAAATGTTTTACACAATTTATATTCCACATTAAATTATATATTATAGTTTTATGTTGCAATATATTATGTACAAACTGTAAGTGTTGCATAATATATTTTTTTTCACTTAAATATCTTGTTTTTTGCAGAGGTTTACCAGACTGGTTCAAGAGTGCTGTGTTTAATGAGTTATATTTCATATCAGACGGTGGATCAGTTTGGCTAGAGATGCCCCAGAATGCAAACACTTCATTACCCACATACGATTCACGGTGAGTGAGAATGTAGGAAACAACTTCTTGTCTGCCTCCAGCCAGGAGATGGGGGGGGGTTTGTATGATGTACAGTATAGGTGATTACCTATTCAGGGAAACCTGTTAGCCGAACTTGAGTCATGGAGATGGGAAGGATGGAACCTGCACTCTGAAGGAGAGGTGAGGATATGTTGCAGTTTTTACTGTAGTATTGGCATGCCTCTGGCAAGATTTGACTATCACCCACAGGATGGGTATATGGGTGCATAATACAGTGATGAGTGAGTGATTATGAAAGTGTTTTTTCTTTTGGGGGCACCCTGCCTCAGTGGGAAATGGTCGATGTGTTAAAAAAAAAAAAAGACTGTCACTATAATTGTAGATTATAATTTTTTAACCACATCAACCATTTCCCACCAGTGGAGGATTTTATATTACATTATGTTACATAGTCCTCCATCCTGCATTACACTATTTGTGGAATCATGCATTCATGTTTATAGTTAACTTTTATTATTAAACTTCTTTGTAATTAGATTTTATGGTCATTTTCCAGGAGTTTAATTCTCCCATTAAAAATAACAGCACAAATTCCTATATCTTGCACAAAAAATCTTGAAAATACCAGTAAGTAAAGTGAATTTTGATTTTTCAACAGGAGAATGTGCAAAGCTTATTAAAAATTGTTCTCTGGTATATTTTTTTTATTTTAACATGCTGGCCACCAAGGCAAGATAACCCCAAAAAAAAAAAAAAAAAAAAAAAAAGGAACAGTCTTGCCAGAGGTGCACAGATGCGACAGTTTAGATGTCACTCTAAACAGCAAATATCAAAAAACCCCTCCTCAAGTCCAGCTCACAGCTTGTCAGGTCCCAAAAACTATGTTTCCATTCACTGCATAATATTCACACCAAACATTTATCTCAAAAACATCACTGTCTGCCTCTAATATACTTTATAATTATGCTGAATTTGTCTTTGTATATTTTTTGTATGTTTTGATTACTGCCATCAATAGTTTTGTAACGTTTAATATTATAATTGCTGCAGTATAATCAAAGTCGGTATAGCATGACATATATCTACAGCCCTGAATATGGTCGATTTGCATACCTGGAAAGTCACGAGTATCGGATGTACAACACTTATGATGTACACTTCTATGCATCATGGGCACTGGTGATGCTGTGGCCTGAACTGCAGAAGTCACTACAGTATGACATGGCTCAATGGACAACATCTGCTGACCTCACACCACGTACTCACCTGTTCCGGGGAAATAAAGGAGTCAGAAAGTTGGCTAATGCTGTTCCTCATGATGCTGGTGACCCTGGTGAGTATACCTCATAGGGATACTTCAAGACGGGTTCCTTGTTGCTGATGAAGTACTCTTAAGTCAAGAAACTGAAGCCTTTCTCCCTCCTCTCTTTTCTCAGATCAAACTTGATTGCCTTCCATTCCCAAGGTATATAACATGTTGCAGGTTTAACATTTCCAATAAAGATAATCATTTTCCTTCTTTTTTTAAAATGCAGTTAGCATTTACTGATTTTAATAGCATCTACTGATTTTTTTTATATTATCATTTCTCAATTTTTCCAGCATTACAGTTATTTTCTTGATCTTTTAAATGTAGCTGTATGTGACTGACCTTTGTCCTGTGCTTAACATTGGTGCCATGGAATTAGTAACTGTGTGTAAAGAAAAGGCACAATACCGTGACTGGAGCAATACGCAGATAATCCGCACACATGAGAAAGAAGCTTATGACAATGTTTCAATCCAACTTGGCCTATTAACTAGTCTTGCACTGTGTGAGACTAATTAATGGTCCAAGTTGGACTGAAATGTTATCATAAGTTTCTCCTATGCGAGGGTTATTTGTGTAACTGTGTGTATTTAGCAGTAGCAATGGGAGCAACACTTTGTTTGGGTTTCTCAAAGTACTTTTTTTTGTCTCTTGATTATTTTCAGTTCCAGCCTGTTTTGGAATCCACTTCACTTGATTTTGCCTTGCATATCTGGCAGTTTGGAGGGATATGTTATGTATCTTTATATGTGTATGCTTCTAGACTGTTGTATTCTGAGCACCTCTGCAAAAACAGTGATAATGTGCGAGTGTGGTGAAAGTGTTGAATGATGATGAAAGTATTTTCTTTTTGGGGATTTTCTTTCTTTTTTGGGTCACCCTGCCTCGGTGGGAGACGGCCGACTTGTTGAAAAAAAAAAAAAAAAAAAAAATCTGTGAACCTTATAATATTGCACGTACACTCCTTGAACTTGTATCAATTCTGTCAGTATATCAGCATATGGCAAGCAGTCCAGTTGATGTACTCATTTCCTTGCTTGAACACTTATATCCCTAAGCACTCTCCTTCCTGTTATATTTTCTTAACTCAGTCTAATCTGACAGTATTGAACTCCTTCTGTGGAAATTTTTACTTTTCAAAAATCAGGTACATTACAGCTTGATTGGCCCTATTATAGACTCATTTCTCTTGCCAGATCTGTTTGCAAATGTAAGGTTAACAAAAGACTTGTATAAATAACAAAAAAAGGCACAATACTGTGACTGGAACGATACACAAATAACCCACACATAGAAGAGAGGAGCTTACGACGACGTTTCGGTCCAACTTGGACCATTTACAAAGCCACACGTCGTTGTAAGCTCCTCTCTTCTATGTGCGGGTTATTTGTGTAAAAGACTTGTATGATGTGCAAGGAGGAGGTATTCTGGCACAGAACTTTTCTCTTTTCATACATTTGCAGCCATCTTGTCATGGCCATCTTTTTTGACATATAGAAAGCTGACATCATTTGGCTTTATCACATCTTATCCTAAGCCTTTTTTTAATGCAAAACCTGCATTTTCTTTGTTTTTATACTTTTTTTGACAGACTCTTTGTGTTTAGGTAAGTAATAGTTTTCTCTGACTTTGTTACAGATATGGAGACCCACATGAATGTGTACTTTGCACTACATCATTCCTAATTACTATCAGTGGACTTGCACCTGTTCTCGCTCATGGGATTTGGTCATTCCTTGCTATGTTGGTGACTGCTGATTTGTTTATTCTGGCACAAACAGTCAGCTTGTGGCTATCCTATTACAATTCATTATTTATTATACATATATCTGATTGAACCACATCACACTGCTTCAAGTTCTCGATATACAAAAAGAATTCTTTAACTCTCACACTATGCCTTATCATTCCCCATTCATTGCTATTCCTATGTGACTTTTTCCTTTGTGTTGTCAAAGTGTTAAATTCCTTGATATGCTCTTCCTTTATCAGCTGTCATAGAAAAATTATATTGCTATTTGCTAAGCAGGCTTTCATAGCCTGAATTATAGTACAGTACTCAGAATCTTGCCTCATCCTTTCTTGTGAGCTGATAGACGGACACTTTTCAGTTTCATTCAACTATATGCCAGCCATCTCCCACCAATCTCGCACCCATGGGGAAGTGGAACAGAATTCTTCCTCCGTAAGCCATGCATGTTGTAAGAGGCGACTAAAATGCTGGGAGCAAGGGGCTAGTAACCCCTTCTCCTGTATAAATTACTAAATTTAAAAAGAGAAACTTTCGTTTTTCTTTTTGGGCCACCCCGCCTTGGTGGGATACGGCCGGTTTGTTAAAAAAAAAAAAATTATAGTACAAAGGCTTGAATTTAGACCTGAAATAGTTCTCATGGATATTTTGCTATTAGAATGATAACTATACAGTCCTACCATACTTGTTAAACTGTACCAGTTGCTGAATTATAGTACTTTTTTTTAACTTGACATATTTTTCCTTATTTTCAGAGGATGAACCATTTGTTCGAGTTAATGCCTACCAAATACATGACATCAGCTTTTGGAAAGATCTCAACCTAAAGTTTGTTTTGCAGGTAAGATGACTTATGAATGAGTCTTGAGTCTCACTTGAAATGCATGTGGCTGGATTTTGACATTGTGGTGCAGTATGTCTACATTTACTTAGACTGTAATACCTTTGATATACCTTTGAAGAGTTTCGAGAGTTTCATTACTCTTGGAGCCTGGCCATGGGCCAGGCTCATCTGGAGCTTGCCTGGTCAACCAGACTGTTGCTGCTGGAGGCCCACTGCCCCACATATCCATCACAGCCTGGTTGATCTGGCACCTGGTGACGATACTTGTCCAGTTTCCTCTATAATGAATATATTCTTTGCATCATGTAGTAATGTTCAGGCCATATAAAATTTATATTAGCTTAAGCAAACACAACTGCTACAGCACAGAAGTAATAGAATGTAAATTCAGTTTAATAAAAGAGGAGCCACAGAGATCGTGTTATAAGTTTTGAATTTGGAACTTAATGTGAAATCTAAATGCTAACTTGATTTGCAAGAGGTTTCTCTTTTGTCCAAACATTAATAAAAGATGTGAATTAAAGGTTATAAAATGGATTTACAGTTTATTGATAATAAACAGTACAGCAAACCTCCGTATTTGTGGATTTGTCATTCCTGAAATCTTAGTATTTATGAGTTGACAAATGTAAGTATATGTATTATACCAATATTGGCAGTTTGGAGGGATATGTTGTGTATCTCTATACGTATATGCTTCTAAACTGTTATATTCTGAGCACCTCTGCAAAAGCAGTGATAATGTGTGAGTGTGGTGAAAGTGTTGAATGATGATGAAAGTATTTTCTTTTTGGGGATTTTCTTTCTTTTTTTTGGGTCACCCTGCCTCGGTGGGAGACGACCGACTTGTTGAAAAAAAAAAAAAAAATGTATTATACATGGTAACATGTGGACTTGCACACCTACAACAAGCAACAGTAAGTCAGAAAGTATACAGGATGCTTCTTGAAGTGATAAATATCAGGACTCTGTACCCTCACACACATACCAGGCTTATACACAAATAACCCGCACATAAAAGAGAGAAGCTTACGACGACGTTTCGGTCCGACTAGAGTCGGACCGAAACGTCGTCGTAAGCTTCTCTCTTTTACGTGCGGGTTATTTGTGTATTGTTCCAGTCACGGTATTGTGCCTTTTTGTTATTTATTTATTATACCAGGCTTATTTATGTCTGTGTTTTTTTCCTTTTTTTTCTTTAATATTCCACAATCAGTCATCATTGTCATTCAACATGTCATGTAAGAGAAGTAGCAGTGCTAAAGAAAGTGAGAAACATGAGCTTAGATTAACTCTTGGAATGTCTAAGCACTGAATTCTTATTTTTTTCATTACTGTACTTTATCAGTTAAATTTATGTATAACACTACATATGTCAGAAATAACTACTGCATTAACTAAGGTTCTACATATTTGTAGGTTATTTTTATTGTTAAATATTTTAAATTCTCCCTATATGTTCATGTCTGACTTGTGCAACTAATCCCTCTTTTCATATTAAACTAAGATGACTGACCACGGTACAGGTAGGGATTGAACTCACGGCAAGTTTTATGACTCGCCACTATCAATCCCCACCCATACCGTGGCTTGTTTGCAATTGTGTCATTACGATTTTTTGAGCTAAGATAACTGTACAGTGGACCCCCGCATACCGTTGGCATTACATAACGTTAAATCCGCATACCGATACATTTTATCGCTAAGATTTTGCCTCGCATACCGCTAAAAAACCCGCTCAACGCTATTCGTCCGAGACGCATCTAATGTGCGGCCTGAGCCAGCCTCACATGTTCCGCCAGTGGCATTGTTTACCAGCCAGCCTCCGCGGTAACATCCAAGCATACAATCGGAACATTTCGTATTATTACAGCGTTTTTGGTGATTTTATCTGCAAAATAAGTGACCATGGGCCCCAAGAAAGCTTCTAGTGCCAACCCTGTGGTAAAAAGGGTGAGAAATATTATCGAAATACTGTGGTACCATGGTCAACTGCTGATGCTGCTGCTGCTGTAGCACGGTCAGCTGCTGCTGCTGCTGTAGCACCGTCTGCTGCTGTACCACCGTCAGCTGCTGCTGCTGCTGTAGTACCATCTGCTGCTGCTGTAGCACCGTCTGCTGCTGCTGTAGCACTGTCAGCTGCTGCTGTAGCACTGTCAGCTACTGCTGCTGCTGCTGCTGCTGTAGCACTGTCAGCTGCTGCTGCTGCTGCACCTTCAGCTGCTGCTGCTGCTGCTGCTGCTGTAGCACTGTCAGCTGCTGCTGCTGCTGCTGTACCACCGTCAGCTGCTGCTGCTGTAGTACCGTCTGCTGCTGCTGTAGAACCGTCTGCTGCTGCTGTAGCACTGTCAGCTGCTGCTGCTGCTGCTGCTGTAGCACTGTCAGCTGCTGCTGCTGTAGCACTGTCAGCTGCTGCTGCTGCACTGTCAGCTGCTACTGCACTGTCTGCTGCTGCTGCTGTACCACCGTCAGCTGCTGCTGCTGTACCACCGTCAGCTGCTGCTGCTGTAGTACCGTCTGCTGCTACTGTAGCACCGTCTGCTGCTGCTGTAGCACTGTCAGCTGCTGCTGTAGCACTGTCAGCTGCTGCTGCACTGTCAGCTGCTGCTGCTGCTGCTGTAGCACTGTCAGCTGCTGCTGCTGCTGCTGCTGTAGCACCGTCAGCTGCTGCTGCTGCTGTACCACCGTCAGCTGCTGCTGCTGCTGTACCACCGTCAGCTGCTGCTGCTGCTGCTGTACCACCGTCAGCTGCTGCTGCTGTACCACCGTCAGCTGCTGCTGCTGCTGTAGTACCGTCTGCTGCTGCTGTAGCACTGTCTGCTGCTGCTGTAGCACTGGCAGCTGCTGCTGTAGCACTGTCAGCTGCTGCTGCTGCTGCTGTAGCACCGTTGTTGGTGTGGCTTATTGAGAATATACCAAGAAACAATTAACCCCAGAGGATTTTCCACCCAGGATAACCCAAAAAAGTCAGTGTCATCGAAGACTGTCTAACTTATTTCCATTGGGGTCCTTAATCTTGTCTCCCAGGATGCAACCCACACCAGTCGACTAACACCCAGGTGAACAGGGAAAAATGCCTGGAACTAGTGGTCATATTGGTGAATTTAAAGCCAGCAAAGGTTGGTTTAAGAGATTTAAGAATCGTAGTGGCATACACAGTGTGATAAGGCCTGTTCTGGAAGAAAATGCCAAACAGGACCTACAGTACTCAGGAGGAAAAGGCACTCTCAGGATACAGTGTCTCATCAGTCAATGCTGCATCTTCAATAAAGGTAAGTGTCATTTATTCTTCATTTAGTAGAGTAGTACATGCACAATATATATTGCGCATGTACTACTCTACTATTGTGCATGTATCCTTCTCTTTGTGTGTAGGAAAATGTATATTTCATGTGGTAAAAAAAATTTTTTCATACTTTTGGGTGTCTTGCACGGATTAATTTGATTTCCATTATTTCTTATGGGGAAAATTCATTCGCATAACGATAATTTCGCATACCAATGAGCTCTCAGGAATGGATTAATATCGTTATGCGGGGGTCCACTGTATTTGTGAATTCTATAGAATTCATATATTGGAGGTGTTTTTCCAAGAAAAAAATCAAATATAGAAGGCAAAAGGGGATTACTAGCAAAGGAGTAGTAACCCCTTCTCCTTTATAAATTAGTAAATGTAAAAAGAAGAAAAACATTCGTTTCTTCTTTTTTGGGTCACCCTGCCTTGGTGGGAGACTGCTGGTGTGTTAAAAAAAAAAAGTTATGGTGGGTTTACTATGCACATTGGTAATGTAGCTACATTTTGCTTCCTTATTTTTGGATTTGATTTTTCTTTTTGTTTCACTTCCCACATACCAGTAATTGATTAAAGACTTTTATTTTTGTTATTTTACTCCTATTTTACTCCCTAATTTGAATATTTTTATGTAATACAATACAACATTCACATGTACTCTAGTCAGTACATTATTTTCAGAACGGTGTGTAATTTACCAATTCAGTACAAGAAAGTTATTTTCCTCATGTTTTAAAATACAGCCTCTCCTCACTTAACGATGGAGTTCCGCTATTAAGAACTCGTTGGTAAACGAATTCATCGCTAAGTGAGGAGAATACTATAATGGTAGTGGGTTTGTGTCAAGCATCGTTGATATTGTTTTAATGTCATCTTTGCACCATTTATAACATTTTTAGTATATTTTTAAATGTCTATACAGTAGTGTACTGTATACTGTAATAAACAGAATATAGGAAATCAGCTCTAATATACATTATTTAGGTATGCATATTGGTCAGAGAGCCCGTCATAAATCCAAGTCGTCGGTAAACAAGTATGTCACTAAGTGAGGAGAGGCTGTACTCAGTCACCCCATTAGTATAGTATTGTATTTTGATAGTCAAAACTACTCTTCCTCTGTTGCATTTTGCTAAAATTTAAAATATGATTTCAGGTTTACAGAGATTACAGTTTCTTTAAAGACCAAGATTACATAACACACATGTGGCCTGTCTGCAGAGCAGTGATGGATCGTTGCTTTACTTACGATCGAGATGGTGATGGCCTAATTGAAAATGAAGGGGAAGCAGACCAAACATATGACTCTTGGATTATGCATGGGCCATCAGCTTACTGTTCATCACTGTGGGTCGCAGCTTTGGCTGCCATGGTGGAGATGGCAGTAGAACTAAAGGATCAGCCTGAGGAAAGCAAATTTTCTGAAGCTCTTGCAAAAGCCAAAATAGCACTTCAAGAAAAATTATGGAATGGTATATATACCTTGCATTTTAAACACTTTTATATGGGTGTGAAGCTTGGGTTGTGAATGTTGCAGCAAGGAGGAGGTTGGAGGCAGCATAGATATAGTGTCTGAGAGCATGTGTGGTGTGAATATTATGCAGAGAATTCATAGTCTGGAGATTAGGAGGTGTTGTGGGTTACTAAAAGTATTATTATCAAGAGGCCTGAAGAGGGGGTTGCCAAGATGGTTCAGACATTTAGAGGGGATGGACCAAAATAGGATAACTTGGGGGGCATATAAATCTCTAGTGGAGGAAGGGCAGGTTAGGGGTCATCCTAGGAAAAGTTGGAGGTTAAAGGTGGTTTTGTGTGGGAGAGGCTTAAACATCCAACAAGCATGTGTGAGCATGTTAAATAAGAGTGAGTGGAGGCAAAGGGTTTTTATAACTTGACGTGATATTGGTGTGAAAGCAAGGTAACATTTATGAAGAGATTCTGGAAACTAGTTAGCTGGACTTGAGTCATGGAGGTGGGAAGTAGTGCCTGCACTGTGAAGGAGAGGTTATGATATTTGCAGTTTTGAACTGTAGTATTGACATGCCTCTGGCAAGACAGTAATGGAGTGAGTAATGGTGAAAGTGTTTCTTCTTTTTTGGGCCACCCTACCTCAGTGGGAAATGGCCAGTGTGTTAAAAAAATTATGCTTATAATACTCTGCATTAAGGGCCTTTGTTATTAATATCAGATTCCTAAGCTGCTTTTCTGAGATTAATTTTATTATGTTAAGATCTTTACTGGACACGGACTGGGCTGCAGGGGCGTTGACCCCCGAAACCCCCTCCAGCTATACCTCTCTCCTCCAGGTATAACCTTAGTTAAATGTACATACCATTGTATTATGAAAAGTATTGTTCAATAAATTACATATTTTAAGTATTTTTTTCCTCTGAATATTGTACACAGTTAAAAATTTAAGTTTTAAAAATTTAAGTTTTTTGTATTAGCTTCAGTTTTTCTCAAAATTTTATGAATACTGTGTGCTCTACACTGGTTATACAACTCAAAGTGAAGTTCTTTTCAAAAATCATACTAAACATGTATTTACTGTTCCTTGTAGAGCTTAAATAAGAGCAGAACAAAAGCATTATCTTCCTGTACTTGTTAACCTTAATAGCTCAAACAATAACGATGATTTTGGCTGATTGTACAATGCATAAGTAAAGTACAGTGGACCCCCGGTATTCGATATTAATCCGTTCCTGAGAGCTCATCGAATACCGAAAATATCAAAAACCGAATCAATTTTCCTCATAAGAAATAATGGAAATCAAATTAATCCGTGCAAGACACCCAAAAGTATGAAAAAAAAATTTACTACATGAAATATTAAGTTTAATGCAATAGAATAATTACAATAACAATAAAATAATTGACACTTACCTTTAATGAAGATCTGGTGATGATTGATGGGATGGGAGGAGGGGAGAGGTGTTAGTGTTTAGAAGGGAAATCCCCTTCCATTAGGACTTGAGGTAGCAAGTCCTTTTCCGGGGTTACTTCCCTTCTTCTTTTAATGCCACTAGGACCAGCTTGAGAGTCACTGGACCTCTGTCGCACAACATAACTGGCAGCCTCACCATGCCTAATCACACTATGTATGCCACTACGATTCTTAAATCTTTCAAACCAACCTTTGCTGGCCTTAAATTCACTCACATCAGCACTAGTTGCAGGCAATTTCTTTACCAAATCGTCATGCAACTGCCTAGCCTTTTCACAAATGATCGCTTGAGAGATGCTATCTCCTGCTATCTGATTTTCATTTATCCACACCAATAACAGTCTCTCAACATTTTCTAACACTTGCGGTCGCTGTTTTGTAATCACATTTGCACCTTTTGCAAGAACAGCTTTCTTGATTGCCGTTTTCCTGGTCACTATAGTAGAGATGGTTGATTGGGGTTTATTATACAACCTGACTAGCTCCGACACACGCACTCCACTTTCATACTTTGCAATTAGCTCTTTCTTCATTTCAATAGTCATTAGCGCCTTTTTTCTCGAAGGGTTGGCACTAGAAGCTTTCTTGGGGCCCTTGGTGACTTATTTTGCAGAAAGAAGCACCAAAAACAGTGATAATATGGATAATATGGAATGTACCGAATATATCCTTAGATGCACGCACACTGGCTGGCTTGTAAACACTGGCACACACGGAGCAGTTCAGGCCACACGTGGACACATCTCATACGAATCGTATCAAATACCGGGCTTTCAATCAGATACCGAGGCAAAATTTTTGCGATATAATGCATCGAATACCGGATTTATCGAATACCGATGCCATCGAATACCGGGGGTCCACTGTATTTTTTTTTAACACACTGGTTGTATACTACCAAGGCAGGGTGACTTAATAAGAAAAATGAAAGTTTTTCTTTTTCTTCTGTCAAGAAACTGGCTGTATCCCACCAAGGCAGGGTGGCACAAAAAGAAAAACAAAAGTTTCTCGTTTTTAAATTTAGTAATTTATACAGGAAAGGGGTTACTAGCCCCTTGCTCCCAGCATTTTAGTCGCCTCTTACGTCACACGTGGCTTACAGAGGAAGATTTTTTTCCCAAAGTAAAGTAATATAATAATAAAAGATATTAAAGAAAGATGAGACAAAAAACTTTAGTAATATTTAAAATAAATTTTAGTAATTAGTGAAAAAAATAGTGAAAATTCAAGAAAATAGTAAGAAATCACAAAAGCTTTTGGAATTTTCCTATTTTTTCACTTGGTTAGTTTGCATATTGGATACCACCTGTTTAATGTGATCTTATTGTTTACATAATTAGATATAGCTCAGTGTATATTAATTGCATTGTATTTTTACTCTTAAGTTCTTAATAACCCTTTTCCGGTATGTTTGAAGAATGGATACTGTGAGGGATGTTATCACAAAATTCAGACACACAAAAAGATAGTGAAGTGTGGTGAGGGACAACAGGCAGAGGGAGAGCTCTAGCTACTCTACCCAGAACTCTTAAGTTCATAAAATAGAACAGCATCAATTGTCATCACTTTTCCCTACACTCTAAAGGAAGGGTTTGGGATATTTGCTGTTTGGAGGGGCGCCTGAGCTGTCATATCTGCACGCCTCTGACAAGACAGTGATAGTGTGAATGATGGTGAAAGTGTTTCTTTTTCCAGTCACCTTGTCTCAGTGGGAGACAGCCAGCATGTAAAAAAAATAATAATGGTTTCCAGTTACTGTTAACTGTCTTTGAAACTTTGCAGGTAAATACTACAAATTTGACTACTGTGATGCACCACACAGTGACAGTATCATGGCAGACCAGCTGGTAGGACATTGGTATCTCTCCCTCTCTAATATAGGAATTGAGGTCAGTAAATTTCTTTTATGTTTTTTACATGAATAATATATAATACTGACAAGAATTACACATGTGCAACATCCATTGGCTTTATCAGTACAAATTCAAGGACATAATGAGAGGACTGTAGAATTCCATACAAAAGATGATGTAGACAGTCCCTCAGCCTTGGAGTTGAAGAGCACTGTAGTCTTGAAGATTCTTCAAGTCTATGGTGCTTTTCATCAGCTATTGAAGTTTGAGCAAGGTAACACTTATGAAGGAATTCCAGGATATCTGTTAGGATTATACCTGAGCCCGGGAGGTGGGACATACAGTTCCTGCACTTTGAAGGAATGATGGGGATGTTACCATACTGAGGGTCATTTAAATTATTATGTCTATTCACTTCAAGACAGCTGTTGAATAAATAATAGTTAACATTTCCATTTTTTGATCACCATACATTGGTAGGAGACAGCTGATGCAATAAAAAAATTTAAGTTACAATTTATCTTATATATACTTATGAGTGTGAGGTAGTGGGAGCATAGGAAACGGGAAGAAAAAGGTAAATAGGAATGACACACAGGCCAGTCAAGACATGCAATCATGATCAAAAGTCCTATTATACTTTTTTTTTTTTTAAATCTTATCTAAGCCTTGATTATTATTATTATAATCAAGGGGGAAGCGCTAAACCCGTAGGATTATACAGCGCCCAGGGGGGATGTGGAAGGCATTCAGGCTTAATTCGGGGAACTGGAGCACAGATTCAATTCCCTAAATCAAGAGCCCCTCACCAACATCAAGGAACCTTCCATGAGGGGATCTAAGCCTTGAGCTCATTGCAACAATTCTGAGTCTTGTTCCAGCTGCTTGGGGCCTTGACATGTAACAGGGTGTTCTCCAATAGCTATCCATAAATAGTTGTGCATCAAAACATTATGTATGTCATCTTCATTTTAAGATCAAACTAATGTGCCATAAAAGCATGTACAGTACCTGTATTCTTAGATATATTCTTCATTTAATAAATGATGCAAATTTTATTTTATTTTTTTTAAAGATACTGTACTACTTTTCTTTTTTTATGTTTTATTAGACAGATTTATTGATACATAATACATTATTTCACCATTAAACATTCATATATTTTTCTTCATATAGTGAAGGTTTCGAAAGTCATATATATACTATCTCTAACTTGAAAACTTGACTTTCATAAATTTTCTTCTAGGTCTTTCAACATGACTGTGTGAAATCAGTCCTGGAACTTCTGTACAAATACAATGTGCAGCAATTTAATAATGGAGAAATGGGTGCAGTTAATGGTATGAACCCAGATGGTAGCATTGATCGCTATACCATGCAGAGTGAAGAAATGTGGGTAGGCGTCACTTATGGGTTGGCAGCAACCATGATTTATGAGGTAAGTCATGTATGACACATGTAGGTTTAAGGTTTTTAAGGTAGAGAATTGGCACACCTCTGGCAAGACAGTGATGGAACAAGTGATGATAAAAGTGTTTCTTCTCTTTGGGAGTCACCCTGCCTAGGTGGGAGACAGATCATGTTAAAAAAAAAAATTGACATTCTGAACTGCAACATCCCCACTAGAATTTAATTCAGTAATTAAGCTTGTAGACTTTTTAATTGCTACCATTTTTGTTGTAGAGTAAAAGAAGTACCGTAAACATGAACTTGCTGGGAAGAAGTGTGGAATTTAACCCTTAAACGGTCCAAAAGTATATATACGTTTTTTCAACATCTGAAAGTATGTAAAAAGAAGTAGATCTTCTTTTTTGTTTTACATTTGAAAACGTGTAAAAAAAACTTTTATCTACTTTTTTTTGTTACATTTGAAAATATGTAAAAAAAAGTAGATCTACTTTTGTAGCACTACGAATTTGAACGTCGATTTGTTTGGACCGTTTAAGGGTTAAACATAAATTTAATACAAAGTTGGAGTTCTCACAGTTGTTCTTTTCCAGTAATAATTCTTTTGGGAGATTGGGAAGAGAAGCTGCAAAGGTTGGTGGAAGAGATTGGGAGGTCATGTATAAGAAGGAAATTAAAAGGGAAGACAGAAATGACCAAGATAATAAGAATGGCAAAAACTGTTGGCAATGAAAAACAATTGATATCAGATTGGAGAGACTATGGAGAAAATGAGTGTGAGCAAGGTAACATGAAGAGATTCAGAGAAAGTGGTTAGGCATGAGTCCTGGAGTTGGGAAGTAGAGTGCCTGCACTCTGAAGGAGGGGCGAGTACGTTGCAGTCAAAGGGTTGCTTGAATTTTGATATGTGTACATTTCTTGCAAGAGGTCATGATGATGATGGTGGTTTCATCTTTTGGGTCACCCTACTTTGGTGAAAGATTGCCAGTGTGATTAAAAAAATAATTGTCATCAGTATAATATTTATTCAATTAGTGCACATTGTTATTCTCTTGATACAGTTCAGTACTTCCTCCATGTTCTTATATGTGTTGTTTATTTATTTTTTTATTGTTTTCCACTATTATATGTATATTTTTTTCAAATATAGATTTGCTTCTAACAATTGTTATTCTGAACTACATCTTCTATCAAATGTGCTATACAGTATATATTTCTCCTACATATTATTTGTTGAATTATATTGTTTTTCCTGTTAAAGGGCATGGTAGAAGAAGGATTTAAAACTGCTGAAGGAGTGTATCGCACAGTGTATGAGAAAATTGGCCTTGGGTTTGAAACTCCTGAAGCTTTGTATGGTGAGCATAAATACCGAGCTATTGGATACATGAGACCTCTGTCCATATGGTCCATGTATTATGCATACCAACTGCAACAGAAAAAGAAAGCCACAGAGATTATAGGATTGCCCACCAGTAGAAGCCCATCCCCTGTATTGTCAGTCAGAGATACTGGAGATGTTGCAGTAATATCAGACTCTTCAAGTGATGTGTCATAATGATTAATTCAAGTGTTTTAATTTTTAGTGTTCTTTTATCTACATAGTTTTCTTTTATTCAGTAACTTTTATTGGGATTGATCATTCTTGGCTACAAACCATGGTACGGGTGGGGTTTGAATCCATGGCAAGCGAGTTGTTAAACTCAAGGGCAGTGCATAAACCACTGAGCCAGCTGGCTACAATAAGATTCATCCAACTAGGTATATTTATACACTATATGGGTTCAAACCCTACCTGTACCATGGTTTGTATGCAATCGTGATGTGATTTCATGAGTCATGATAGCGGCTTTGAGGGGACTTGAGGTAGAGTTTACCACAGCCACGCTGGCGAGAGATTCATCTGTAAAAGCTTGTATTTGTGGTTACAGTGGTGGCCTGTACTTACCTCCCTACCTGTACCATGGTTTGTTATTATGATTTTGCGAGTCTTGCATACCACAGTATGCATGATATATATACATACTGAAATTTTATTTTGTGAGAATAATGAAATGGACAATAATGTGTGTACAATGAAAGATAGATAGTATATAATATGATATGATAGAGATACGAACACTGGTGTACGGTATTGCCAAAGATGATAACTCTCTACAGAGTTCCTCAGTTTCTTTGCAGTGGAGTATATAGTTGTATATGTTAGCTGAAGAGCTACAAGCCACTCTACACTGCCAATGCCAACTGAGCACAAGCAGCTTTAATAAATGAATCCTTTTTATAACAGAGATTCTTTTTTATAATTTTTGAAACCAGTAGCCTTGGCATGCTTTTATGTCAAGTGTTTTTCATATTTACTATATTATAAGCTGAATTAGTGCAGCTATAATGTAAAGAACCTCAAGTTGGGTGAGAGGTGTTTGTGGGGTAATGTAAATACTGCTTGTATGTACTTTATTTTAAGCATTTTTTTTTAATGTTTAATTTTATTGAATGTTAATGCAAAAATTAAATTTACCGGTAGTGATGTGGAGAGTATGCTAATTTGCACCAATTAGTATCCATATACATGTATTGGCAAGACAGAGATTGAATGAATGATGGTGAATGTGTTTCCTCCTTTGGGTTACTCTGCCTTGGCAGGAAATGGCAGTTGAGGACAAAAAATGTAATAAAGGCAGAGGAAGCCCCTGCCATTTGCAAAAAGTTACTTTCCATGAAAATTCAGCAACTGGCAAAGCTGCAAACAGCAAAAACATTATTTAAACTGTAAGGATCTTCAAGATCCTTTGCTCTGACTTTGAAAGTTGAGGCAAACATCTGGGGATGGTTGATGTTGAGTCCAGGAGAAGCATGGAGTACATTGTGATCCTCAGCTTGATTCTGATGGTGGATTGGTAGCCCTTGGTTGAAAGAGAGGGGTAATTTCAAGTTACTTTACTTTAAGAATTAGTCTTTCTGAAGCTCCTTAGAGAGAGCTGTCCTAGTGAGCAAAAGGGCAGATGTTCTGGTAAGTGAGAGTAAATAAAACACTTGTGCATCGCTTGGCAATCTTTATTCCCATGTGTTGCCCTTATCTTGTCAGTTTTCTAAGCCATTTATTCAAAAGTGAGAGAGTACATGAATGGGAAGGCAAGATGACAGGTGGAAGGGCAAGCCAATGAGAGGATGGGCAAGCAAGCAAAAGATACAAACAACCTATGATCACCTCACCCTCCATCTTGGGGAGAGGCAGCAAAGTAGAAAGAGAGGATGGGGATTTGGGAGTAGGTTGGTAGTTTTGAATAGTAGTAGTAGTAGTAGCAGCAATACTGCTGCTGCTGCTGCACATGCATGTAGAAATTTAGGAAGAGGAATTTGAAAGATATGCTAGCTTCTGTTTTATGATTTTGCATTAGAATAACAGGTTTTAGAGGTGAGACAAAGCGTACAGTATTTATTAAGTAATTTTTTATACATATATTTGCATTAAATCTCTGTAAACTGTGTTTGTTTAAGGCTGAGTAGGAAACAGCTTCAGGTTCAGGTAGATTTGCCAGAACAGGTCCTGGCCCAGGTCTTCTCCAGAAGGTAATTTGTACCCTCAAGTCATATCCATACAAGAGGGTGAGAGTTGCATTCGGCAATTGTTGTTGCGGCTACCACACAACAAGCTGTTAAATATTGTATTAATTCCTTTGATCAGTTCATGCAGGCAATACATCCTTGGTAGCTAGGTAGCATCAACTGACACACCTGGCGTAGCCTGACTGAAGCTAGTTGAGTACAGTTTTCTGTCTCATGGTTCATTCTTTAAATGTACTCTCATGTATTTTTGCACCATTTGCGAAAAGTAATCAAGTGTGGCTATACACAGGAGCAAGTGGTCAGTGTACAAGTTGAGAAACTGGATTGTTCTCTCTAATTGCATTAGTAATGACTAATACAAGTAGAGAAACTGGATTGCTCTCTCTAATTGTATTAGTAATGACTAATAATGTAATCCAGTGCAGTTATTAATCCTAACTGTATTTGTGTTTGTGTTTTTTTTTATTTTTTCAATGTGCCGGCCGTCTCCCACCAAGGCAGGGTGACCCAAAAGCAAGAAAAAACTTAAGTTTTTTATATTTATTATCATTATTATTATTATTATTAGTAGTAGTAGTAGTAGTATTTAACCCTTTCAGGGTCCGTCCCGTAGATCTACGGCTTTACGTTCAGGGTCCAAACCGTAGATCTACGCCACGAGCTCAGCTCACTCTGATAAACTGTGAGTGGTACATTTGAGCCTAGATATGAGAGAATACATTTATGTGGTATGTGTGCACCACATAAAACAAATCCTGCAGCACACTGTGTATAATGAAAGAAAAAACTGAGACCATGATTTTCGATTAAAACAGCGACTTTGCAGTGTTTTTCGTATGTTTTTTATAGTTGTATTTGCGATTTCTTGGTCTCATTTGATAGAATGGAAGACATATTACAGAAATAGAGATGATTTTGATTGGGTTTAACACTGGCAATGGCTTGAAACTGAGCTCAAAGTAGCGGAAATGTTAAATTTTTGCCGATGTTCAAGAGTAAACAAATGATCTCACATGTCTAATACACGTCAGCTGGTGGATCTAATATACATTCACAAATGTGGTGATGATATTTATACAATTATTACAATATCGCATAACAGTAAATCTTCTATTTTTTGGTGTGAATAAAAATTCATTATATGAATAAAAAATTAAAATGGAATTTATTTGTAAAGCCTCAAAACATAACTAATGAACAGAGGAAATTTTAGTTTAGTGCCAGGAATACCTACATTGTTTATTCTGGACCCTATTTTGAAATTGGAATATTTTGAACTTAATGTTAAATTGGCCGAATTAACAATTTCCGATCACTTTAATTTGTAGTTGAAACAGTTGACTTGGCGATTTTGGCCTTGGACCCTGAAGGGGTTAATATAAATATCCCTGTGATGCAATATGTTTACTGAAAATTCAACTGTGCTATATACATATTGTCATAGTCTTATAGAACATGACTTTTATAGCTATTTTATAGCAGTTTGGAAGGATATGTTGTGTATCTTTATAAGTATATGCTTCTAAACTGTTGTGTTCTGAGCACCTCTGCAAAAACAGTGATTATGTGTGAGTGAGGTGAAAGTGTTGAATGATGATGAAAGTATTTTCTTTTTGGGGATTTTCTTTCTTTTTTGGGTCACCCTGCCTCGGTGGGAGACGGCTGACTTGTTAAAAAAAAAAAAAAAATTCTGATGTGTATATTAGGTAAAAGAATTTAAACATTGTTTGAAAATTCTGAGTTAAGATTTTTGAGGTCTTAAGAGTAACTAATGTTTTATTTATTTAGCTGATAAAATGTTAGCATCATAATTACGTGTTCATTTCTTGGCTGAAAATTTTTATATTGTATCCTGTGCTGAAAATTTGTTTATTGTATCCAGTATATGTAATTTTCCAAACATTGTTGTGGTAATCAGTATCCATCAGTAGTTAATTTCTTTAGTTATAATTTTTATAGTGCTATTTTCTATGTAGTATGTAATGCAGTACATAGAGTACTGTTTTAGTCACTTTAGTGAGTACTATACGCTTAGTAGAAGTTTTATAGCAGTTGGTTGTTGAGAGAGAATATGTCAAGATATCTTGTACCTTAGTAGAAGCACTTTTAGTTTCATCAATACACCTGTGACCTGTTTCAAGTTTTACCATCCTTACAGCTTGGCCTGAGGTCAAGCTTTTCTGCTCACTGCCTGTTCAACCAGGCTGTTGCTGTTGGCTGCCCACTGGTCCACACAGTCATCAGTCTGATTGATGTGACTCTTGGAAGAAGTAGTGATTTAGTTTCCTCTTGAAAACTTTTATATTTGTTTCAGTAACATTTATATCTGCTGGATGTTGACATAGTGTTTTCTTATTGTACCCATAGTATCACTTCTTTTCAAATATCTCTATGTATATCTTATCTGGTATCTCTGTATGCTCCTGAGAGAACAGTACTACTGAACAATCTCAGTACTTTGAAGTATTCCCAGTAGTTTAAATGCTTTATTGGCTCTATGTCATCTTTAAACAACCTCTCACATTTCCAGATCTGATATATCTCTTTCCTTGAATGAAGTCATCAACATTGAATGATATTTTAAAGGAAAGTGCAAGTAATTTTAATAGTGTCACCATTAGCATTATTTCTTTTGTCTTGATAGTTCTCAGGACAATTTTCCAGATAATACCTGATAGCTCTTTATTTTGGCCCAGTCAGTTCTCTGATTTTCTTTTTAATGAACTGGCAGGGTTACCTAAAAAGAGAAAAAGAAAGTTTTTCCCTTTAAATTCAGTAATTTATACAGAAGGGGTTACCAGCCCCTTGCTCCCAGCATTTACATCGCCTCTTACAACACACATGGCTTACGGAGGAAGAATTCTTTTCCACTTCCCCATGGAGGTAAGAAGAAACACACAAGAACAAGAACCATTAAGAAAATAGAAGAAAAACCAGATGGGTGTGTATATATATGCTTGTATATGCATGTATAGTGTGAGCTAAATGTAAGTAGCAGTAGCAAGATGTACGTGACACCCTATGTGTTCAATTCTTTGATTATCGAAGTTAAATTTACTGAATATCCCTTCACATTGGCTATTTTGGCAATTTCTTAGGTTCTTTATGCAAAGATTTGTACTTGTCTGTACTTCATTGAGATTATGAGTAGAGTATATTATATATAAGATTATTACATTTCTAATTCTTCATTGTTCATGAGGATCAAATTGTGCATTTTCATTTCTAGTAAGTTCTGTTATATATTGGTTCAAAGCAAAGTTTTCACAGTGCCCCAGTAACCTCTGGTATATATGCGGTGAGCTAACATGCTTCCAAATACTATTTCTGGTACATTGTTGTTGTCTAACATCCTCTTTAAAATTTAGAAAATCGAAGTCTCCGAGGAGGATAATATCTGGTGTTGGATTTTCAAAGCAGTTACCTTCCTTATCTACTACATGAATTCCTCTTGTCATTGATGCTGGTGGTTTATGTACAAGGATAATTACCAGATTCTTGTTCTCTACTCTTACCTATCACTATACTTCTATTGCATCATTTGATGATAAAATAGAAGTACATGTACTGTGCAAAATGAATCTCTTGTATAGTCTTATTAATTTGCATGACTTATTTACTCACATCATCATACATTATAGTTTTGCACCCATATCTCTCTGTCCTAAACATCCTGTTTGTTTTTAAGCAAATGTTAGCAAGGGAAGAAAGATGTTTTGGGTTATCTGGCTTTGTTAATACTTTTGGTATATACACGTACCATCTTTTAATATGACAAGATGTATATACATATTCATGTTCTCTCCAATGCTGGTTGTACTGTGATCTGTTGTAGATTTAACTCTGGTGTGTGGAAAAACTTGTTTGATGTTTTTCACTCTCATATTTCTATGTAGTCCCTTTTTTTTTCTTGTTTATCTTTTTTTTTTTTTTTTTTTTTTTTTTTTTTTTTTTTAATCAGTATTGTACTCTACTGTGTAATGAGGAAAAGAGGGTACAATTTTCTTTTTATTCTGGTATTTGAATGTCAGATACTCTTCTTTAATTCATAAATCACTGGTTAATTATTGTTATTGTTTTAAAGAATCTGCATTACAACAGAGTACATAGTATATGTTAAGTAAGTAAACAAATAGGAAAAATGTTCAGTCCATACAGTATATAGTATAGACATTCATTTGTCTCCTTTGACTGTATGACCCTTGTGGGTTTAGTGCCTTGTTTTTATTGTAATAATAATTGTCTCTTTTGAGGTCACCAAAAAAGTATCGTAGTATATTGCCAAAGTTTTCTATGATAGCCTTAAACTTCTGATTAAATTTATTTAAGTGTCATCAGTTGTTAGTTACAGAGCCTTCTGTGTCTCTTGGGTAGCACCATGACTATTAGCCCTTGACCATTCCTTTAAGTTCTGTAAATCCCCGACTGTGTTTCCCAACTTTATTGATAATAATCACAATGTTCCCTCCTTGCTGATGATTCACACCTTGCTGCCTTACTTGCTCCAAGGAGCATTTCTCCTATCCTCATCAGTGTCATTGGTCCATACAAGAATTTGAAGTGTACTGCTTGAATGAGGACATGACATATGGCCATGCCTTAGTCAATCTCCAACAAAATGAACATTTGCCAGCACTCTCTTATTCTCTCTAACTATTGGCTATCCTCACTTCACTGTTGTCAGTTATGGGAAATGGTGCTCCTGCACTTATACATTAGTCATGTCTCGCTCTCTAAAATGCTGGGAGCATCGGGCTAGTAACCGCTTTTCATGTATAAATTACCAAATTTAAAAAGGAAAACTTTCATTTTTCTTTTTAGGTCATCCTGCCTCAGTGAGATATGGCCGGTTCATTGAAAAAAAAAAATTCTCACTCTTCCATAGTCACCTCATGGAGGAGGACCCTGTTCCAATCAGGATTGCTCTGTCAAGCTGACAGTTAAATCCTTTTGATATGTTTTTCCCATTGATTAGAAAGCATGTTTTCAATGACCTCCTATACTTTTGCTCTACGCTCCTTTTTTTTTTTTTTAAATTATTGTACTACCTTTGATGTAGATTTTGTCTATGGCTTTTTGATATATTGCACTATCTGTTTACTCATTCTGTTTTTATGCCCATCATGACCCTTATGGGTTTAGTGCTTAGTTATGATTATAATAATTTATACCCATTGTCAGCACATCTTTTTGACCTATAATTTAGGCACATCTTTATTATGCAGCATTGAATGACCTCCACAGACCTAGTGCTTTCGTGAAGAATAATAATAATATGAGGAGTTAGTATTGTTTTATAATAATAGTAAACTAACTAGTGGCATGGTGGTTGGGGATCAGTTAGGCTGCCTAGGCCCTAGTAGAAATCAAAACCTAACTTACCAACAACTGTGTATTGTGTACCAAAAGACTGTCTCATACACAAAAAAAAAATATTTGATGCACAAATTAGTATAACACAATAGTGAAGAAAAAAGTTTTTATTGTTGCATTTTGAATTTGAAGGTTAGTAGGAAAGTAAAACTTTTAGTAAGTGGTTACAGATACAGTACATGTATACAGGTACAGTATATGCATACAAGTACAGTACATGTATACCTTCCACCACACCACTGTTGTCATGAACTTGTGTTCATGGGGAAGCACTAAACCTGTAGGAACCATACAGCATCTGGGCAATAGGAGGTAATCAGGGTTGATCCAAGGAATGATAAAGCATCTCCCTCTTTTTTTTTTTTTTTTTGTGACAGTAAGGAGGTTATTGATCTACAGAACTGGGTTTATCCTTTCATTCCTTGGATTGAAACTGAATACATGTACCTCCCATTCACCAAGTGCTTTGAGACCTCTACAGGTTTGTCTCCAATTATTATAATCAGTAAGAAGGGTTTATCTCCAAAGAAACATTGTTTATTCACAAGTCAGTACAACCCTATGCCCCCCCTCAAAGGGGGTTCCTTGATGGTGGTGAAGAACTCTTGATCCAAGGAAGTAGAGCTACCCTCTTTAACTTAATTATATCCCATTCCCCAGATGCTATATCACTCTGACAGGTTTAGTATTTTCAATTATTATTATAATTATGGGGGAGCACTAAACCTGTAGAATTATGAAGCACATGTGGAGGAGGGATGGAAGGTATTCAGCCTTAATTCAGGGAACTGGAGCACAGATCCAATTCCCTAGATCGAGAGCCCCTCACCAGTGTCAAGGAATCTCCCTTGAGGGTTCAGTATTTTCAAATAAATATGATAGTACAGTACAACCTCATTTTATTGTAGTGATGTAAGCTGACAAGATGACAACATACAGTATTATAATGGGCATCTGAAATTATTTGCACCTCAGTATTTAAATATAATTTACAAGCACTTATATAAATGACTTTGTCCATTAGTTTTATATACTAAACAATATTTTTCTACATAATGCATATTTATTATTTATGTGAAAGCATTTGGGTTTGAGGAGTGCACAGGCTTATGTCAAATCTAAGTGGTTTTCTTAGATGGAAATACTTCAGAGGTTAAGGAACTTCAGCAGTATTTTTTGTCAAGTCTTTTGAGTGATATAACAGTTTATGGTATATTTGGTTTATATTTAGTTTTATATTTTGGTACTGTATATATGTGTAGTTATTGCTATCTTTTAGTATATTTGTAGTTACTGCTCTCTTAGGCAATATTGTTGCATTGTATAATACGTATTTCTTAAGTAAGGGTTTAGTGCAGTATTGTGCTGTACTTTTTATGTCATCAGTATTTATGAAGTTGCATAAAAGTTGTAAATCATATAATTTTTTAATAAATATACTAAGTACTAAAATTTGTGTACATATTCGTGATTGCCATCACTATCTGTAAGTTGCCAGAATGCTTGGTTAATAAATGACTTATGTGGAATTTAATAACCTGAGAGTTTCTCATCAGTTTGGTTTTATAAGGGGATCATTCCACCATCGACCTCTTATTCTGCCTCAGTACATGCATTCAGAAACACATTCACAGGCAACCATGCAATCTGCTATTTTTTCAATCCAGAGAAAGCTTACAACACTACCTAATATTACAACATTTTGAAACAATCCCATTCATTAATCTAATGAGGCAGTTTACCACTTTTCCTTCAAAGATTTTTCTATCAGAGAGGAACTTCATTCTTCAATATATAACAGCCTTTTTCCTGACTGTGCAAGTCCAAGGCATTCTACAACACTGAGTCCTCAGTACTATGATATTCCTGATAGCCATCAATGCACTTTCCTCAGTTCTTCCTACACTTATCTAGTCATTTTTGTGTGTATGCTGTCACTCGTGCAGCAATAGATTGTTTGGCTTGTAGCAACCGCTCTCTAATGTTGTATCACTTGTGCTGCCACATGGGCCACCTTATGTAGTTTCAAATATGTTAATAATAATATGTCTTTATTTCTACAAGTACATATACAAGGTATACAGGCCTAGCTGACATCAATGACATACTATTATATAGAAAATCCCTTGTTATGCAGAGCATTTCAGACAAACTAGGCCAGTGTTGTCCCAGGATGCAGCCCACACCAGTTGACTAACACCCAGGTACCCATTTTACTAATGGATAAACATAGACAGCAGGTGTCTTATGGAAACATGTCCTAATGTTTTCCAGCCATACTAGGGGATCGACCCCCAGACCTCAGAGTGAGGTGAGTGCACTAGCGATCAAGCTACGGGACACCTTAACTTGATAACTTTCACTCCATGCTCTATCATCCCACAGCCTATTTTTTTTTTTACTTGCTTGGTTGCCTTATTCAAGTGAATGATAGATCTCAATTTCTTGGTCTTATCCTTAATTGTCTAATATAATTGAAGTCTTATATCAGCTCAGTAAAAGCAACCCTAGTCAACTGAAAAATGGGAAATCATTTTTCTTGGGTAGCTGATAGAAAAAAAACTCCTCATTGCCTTCATTCAAGACTGATCTTGTTTAAGGTAGATTAAGGAGACTAGGTACAGTAGTATATTCTTCAGCTTCCTCATCCCCTTAATAAACTTAATGCTATTCATTGTTGTAGATTGTTTATATCTAGGGGATTTTCAGTCTTTCTCAGCTGAGAGCCTGTATACAAAAGCAAATGTCCCTTTGCAGGATCAATGTGATACCCATTACCTTCATTATTTTATTCTCTTTCATGACCTTTACGATCCTCTTACATACGGAATGATCACATCAGTAAGATTAATTCATCTAATCATAGACTCCCCATATTTTGGCTTTTCAGTCTTCATGTTTGATCTCTGGCAACATCTCTTACTCTCTTTTTTTTTTACATGTTGGCTTTCTCCCACTAAGACAGGTGTGACCCAACAAAGAAAACACTTTCACCATCATTCACAGATAATCACTGTCTTTGCAGAGGTGCTCAGATACGACAGTTCAGATGTCACTCCAAAAAGAAAATATCCCAAACCCCTCCTTTAACCCATAAACGGTCCAAACGTATATATACATTTTTTCAACATTTGATAGTATGTAAAAAAAGTAGATCTTCTTTTTTTTTACATTTGAAAACGTGTAAAAAAACTTTGATCTACATTTTTTTTTTTTATATTTGAAAATATGTAAAAAAAAAATATAGATCTGCTTTTGGAGCACTACGCATGTGAATGTAGATCTGCTTGGACCATTTACGGGTTAAAGTACAGGCATTGTACTTCTCACCTCCAGGACTCAAGTCTGGCTAACCAGTTTCCCTGAATCCCTTCACAAAATATTACCCTGCCCACACTCCAATACATGTACATAGTTCGTTAAGCCTCTTAATATACCCCTTTATTTTTCTTTAAATCACACTAGCTATCTCCCACCGAGGTAGGGCGACCCAAAAACGAAGAAACTAAGGTTTTTCTTTCTTTCATGTTTAGTAAGTTATACAGAAGGAGGTTACTAGCCCTTTTCTCTTACCCCCTTTATGTAAACCTCACACTTTTCCCTTCCTCCTTGGAAAATTTCAACAATTCATTTTCGTTCTTCTTTCCTGGAGACACTGAGCATTCTTACTCAGCTGCTTGACCCACTATTTCATGACCTACCAATCTTCCACAAGGAAGAGTCCCTTTCTTGGATGATTTTCCATTACTCTCTCAATCTGAAACCACTAACAATAATGTTGGTCCTAGTTAGAGCACAACAAACTATTTTTGTTTAAATTGGAAATTAATTCTTGGCCATCTATCTATCATTGCCAGGTATGGGAAATCATCTTGCACTGTTGCAAACTGGACACCCATTGCCCCACACACTGATAACAAATGGAGAAATGCCCAGCACTTTACTGCAAACACTACCAGGTCAAGCTTTCTTTGGCTATGCCTTAAAAGACTGTCCTATCTATCAAAGCGCACACTGAATTCACTTTTAACATCTGTTATGCCTTGACATGCTCACTTTAACTTACCCGATTGCCGAGAGTTCCACTTGCAATGCAGACTCACTTTTTGACATTTTAACAGAAACCAACCTAGTGCACAAACTCTGACATTGATTTTACATGTGCAGTAACCTATTTCTCCAAACATAGTCACCACTCAGCAGTGTTGTATGATCCATATGAGTTTATTAATTATTTTATAAAATTATACACAGGTAATTCATATGATAATAGAAACATTTCTGATTTTCAACATAAACATCATGTCTGTTTCACATCATAGCATAACTAGGGTATTTTACTTGGCCAAGACAAACATCATTTTTTTCTTCTGTTTGTTTTTAAAAAAAGGAGAAAGTGATTAGATTCTTTAAGACTAATAGTTGTGCAGTATTTTTTTTTTATTTTTCCTGTGTTAGAAGTTGTTGTAAATGAACTGTTAAATGCCTGAAAGGTATTAGCAAATAAATCTTATAAATGCTTATTATTGAAAGGTTATGGTTAACTATACTGTGTTGATATCTCGCCCCACATATTCTGTACAGTACTTTTATTGCTCAATTGGTGCCTCATGTATTCCCTGATATTTTTTGTAAAATCCTTGTTATGGTTCCTTAAAATACTATATGTAGTATAATAGGGTAAAAATTCAGGTTTATATCTGCAATAATAATTGAGAAAAAGGCAAAATTTCTTATAAATACAGTGGTACCTCGGAATATGATCAACTCCCTACTCGAACAAAGCTCAGCCCTTGACCTAACAAATAAGACATGCCAAAACTTCGCTGTCAATTATTTCATGTTTCTTCACATTTTTTGGTGTGTTTTTGTATTGTATAAATAAGTCACCATGGGGCCTACGACAATTAGTGATAACAGCAAACCAAACAGAAAATTGGTTAGGAAGAACTTGTTCGATACTCAAACGGGGTGGCACTCGAACAGCCTTCTGGAATGAATTAAACCTTTCAGGGTTTCCGACGTACTAGTACGGCTTATGCACCAGGGTTTTTGACGTACTAGTACGCCTAAATTCTAGCGCCCTCAAATCTAGTGCGAGAAAGCTGGTAGGCCTACATATGAAAGAATGGGTTTATGTAGGTCAGTGTGCACAGTATAAAAAAAATCCTGCAGCACACAGTGAGTAATGAGAAAAAAAAACTTTGACGGCGTTTAAAACAGCGACTTTGCACTGTATTTTCGTATGGTATTTATGATGGTATCCTAGTTTTCTTGGTCTTATTTTATAGAATGGAAGACATATTACAGAAATTGAGACGATTTTGATTGGTTTTACAATGAAAAGTACCTTGAAATTGAGCTCAAAGTAGCAGAAATCTTCGATTTTTGCCAAAGTTCAAAAGTAAACAAATCATGCTACGCGTCCAATACACGTCAACTGGTGAGTCTAATATTCTTTCACAAGTGCACTGATATTATTTATACCATTTCTACACTAATGCAGTAGTCTGCATAACAGTAAATCTTTCTATTTTTTGTGAGAAAAATTCAAAGTGGAAAGCAAAAGAATGTAAGAGGGGCATGGGGGACATGACTAATGGACAGAGGAAATGTTATTTTAGTGCCAGGAATATCTTTCTTGTTTATTCTGGACCCTATTTGGAAGTTGGCATCTTTTGAAATTTTTGTGAAATTGGCAAAATTGCTAAATTCTGACCACTTTATTGGATAGTTGAAATCAGTAAATGGGTGGTTTCTTGTACACATTCCATAGAAAAAATGGAGTTCTAGCGAAATAGTTGTGATTTTTGTTGACTAGTACACTGGAATTGGCCGAAAATAGGGCTCAAAGTGGGCAAAATCACCGATGCGTGAACATCATTGAGACCACTAACTTCGTGAGAGCATAATTCCGTAAGTTTTCCATCATATTTCATACTTTTGCTGTCATTATGATTGGGAAAAGATTCTCTATCTTTTCATAAGAAAAAACTAATTTTTTTTTTTAAAATTTGGCAACCCTGAGAACAAGTCTGGGAGAGGGCCTGTCGACCCTGAAAGGGTTAAAGTCGCATACCGAAGTTCCACTGTATAGTTATATGACAGAAAAAAATTGTGATGAATTTTTTTGGGGGGTATATATTTTTAGGGTATACATACTTCAATACCATATTCACTCCCTGTTAGAAAATATAGTATGCATAGTTGTGTACTATAACTATTCAATATTATGATTACTCGATTGAATGTGGGACCTGAACTACTGTATTCTGATCTGCACCAATATTTTTTGTTACAGTAACTAACTTGTGCAACAGCTCCAGAACACAGAAATAAGATACTCAATAAAACAACAAAAGACTGTAAATGCTGTCTGCTCTGCAGTAATAAATAGATATTAAATGAAGAATTAGACATGTGTAACATCTAGGTATTTTTTTTTGTTGACGTTTTGCCAACCAGTTGCCACTAGATGGTAAAACATTTACAAATAAAGGTATAGACATTAAATTGTTTTAGAAACAGGTCTCCTGCCTGAAGATGTGACCAGCTTCCTAACTATGCTCAATGGTATAATAAAGTTTGTTCATCTTCCTGGTTTTGATTTACCCTCCCTTTAAGTGATGTGTTTTGACCATTGACTTTGTCAATGGTCCAAGTCGGACCGAAACGTCGTCGTAAGCTTCTCTCTTTTATGTGCGGGTTATTTGTGTATCGTTCCAGTCACGGTATTGTGAATTTTTGGTTATTTATTGTTAGTAAGTAAGTTTATTCAGGTATGCATAGATACAGTTACATAGATTATCATACACCCCCAGTACCAACAATACCACCAGTCCGATGACATTCTTCTTTGCAAATATACAGGGTCTAACGCCAGCAACAAACAGCAAAATACCTTTCATCCGTGGACTGCTTGCAGAGGCAAAGGCAATGTTCGCGGCTTTCACTGAGACCCACATAAAGGATCACTTGGACAACGAAATATGGATCCCAGGTTACAACCTATACAGATGTGACAGAGTGAACAGGCAAAAGGGGGGGGTTGGCCTGTACATTGCAGAGTCACTTGTTTGCACAGAACTGCTAAATGCCTCAAATGATGTAGTGGAAGTTTTAGCAGTAAAGGTTGAGAACCAAAACCTAGTCATTGTGGTAGTCTACAAGCCTCCGGATGCAACATCCCAGCAATTCCAGGAACAGCTGTTAAAAATTGACCACTGTCTGGAAAATCTTCCAGCTCCTGCACCCAACATCTTGCTCCTGGGGATTTCAACTTAAGGCACCTAAAATGGTGGAATATAGCAAATAATATTGTTGCAGTAATAACACCAGGAGGCAGCTCTGATGAAAACTCGCACTCAAACGAGCTTTTAAATCTCTGCACAAAATTCAATTTAAACCAGCAAATAATAGAGCCTCAGACGGAGAATACACTAGACCTCATCTTCAAACAATGATGATCGATAAAAAATGTCACCTATCAAAAACAATATACTCAGATCGCAAAATAATTTGGGTTCAGAAGTATGCAGGGCCCCAGACCACTAATAAATTTATCACGAGGGAGCATTCCCCAAAATTTCAACTTCAATAAAAAAAACAAAAAGGGGACCAAGAAAAACCAAGCCCAAAACCGATATAAGGGGGAAGATTACAAACAACACAGACCCCAACTTATCCCTAAACAATTTAAATTTGGTGGCACTCGATGTATGCAAAACTTATTCCTCTAAAAAAAAGGAGGAGTAGATTAAAATAGAAAGAGACGGGCACCCCCTTTACAGGCGACGGAAAAATAACAAGCGGCTAAAAGAGGTCAAATATCTGAAATGCGTAGGGAGCAGGGTCAGAGAAATAAAAGCTCGAACTCAAGCTAAAGGAATCTTAAAGGAGTCAGGAACGCGGGAAGAACTAAAACCCATAAATGAAATCGAAAAAAACCCAAATATTTCTTCCCTATGCCAAATCAAAGTCGGAAACAAGTCCATTTTGGGGCCCCTACTTAAACAAGATGGGCCCTACACAGGACAGCAAGGAAATGAGTGGCTACCAAGTCCCAAATGACTCAGTTTTAGCAATCCCTAACCAGCGAGAGTTCGAAGATCAAAATGAATTTTTTTTGAAGGCCCAAAAATTTGATTTAACACAAGCCCATCCGATGTTATCCTTTCGCCAAAAAGATTTTGAACAGGCGATAAATGACATCCCATGCACTCTGCCCCAGGGCCCCCGACTCATGGAACCTGTGTTCATCAAGAACTGCAAGAAGCCCCTATCACGAGCCTTTTCCATCCTATGGAGAGGGAGCATGGACACGGGGGTCGTCCCACAGTTACTAAAAACAACAGACATAGCCCACTCCACAAAGGGGGCAGTAAAGCAACAGCAAAGAACTACAGACCAATAGCATAACATCCCATATCATAAAAATCTTTGAAGGGTCCTAAGAAGCAAGATCACCACCCATCTAGAAACCCATCAGTTACACAACCAGGGCAACATGGTTTAGAACAGGTCGCTCCTGTCTGTCTCAACTATTGGATCACTACGACAAGGTCCTAAATGCACTAGAAGATAAAAAGAATGCAGATGTAATATATACAGACTTTGCAAAGCCTTCAACAAGTGTGACCATGGCGTAATAGCGCACAAAATGCATGCTAAAGGAATAACAGGAAAAAGTCGGTCGATGGATCTATAATTTCCTCACTAACAGAACACAGAGTAGTCGTCAACAGAGTAAAGTCCGAGGCAGCTACGGTGAAAAGCTCTGTTCCACAAAGCACAGTACTCGCTCCCATCTTGTTCCTCATCCTCATATCCTACATAGACAAGGATGTCAGCCACAGCACCGTGTCTTCCTTTGCAGATGACACCCGAATCTGCATGACAGTGTCTTCCATTGCAGACACTGCAAGGCTCCAGGCGGACATCAACCGAATCTTTCAGTGGGCTGCAGAAAACAATATGAAGTTCAACGATGAGAAATTTCAATTACTCAGATATGGTAAACACGAGGAAATTAAATTTTCATCAGAGTACAAAAATTCTGGCCACAAAATAGAGCGAAACACCAACGTCAAAGACCTGGGAGTGATCATGTTGGAGGATCTCACCTTCAAGGACCATAACATTGTATCAATCGTATCTGCTAGAAAAATGACAGGATGGATAATGAGAACCTTCAAAACTATGGAGGCCAAGCCCATGATGACACTCTTCAGGTCACTTGTTCTATCTAGGCTGGAATATTGCTGCACACTAACAGCACCTATCAAGGCAGGTGAAATTGCTGACCTAGAAAATGTACAGAGAACCTTCACGGCGCGCATAACGGAGATAAAACACCTCAATTACTGGGAGCGCTTGAGGTTCCTAACCCCTCAAGGAAGGCTCCTTGACGCTGGTGAGGGGCTCTTGATCTAGGGAATTGGATCTGTGCTCCAGTTCCCTGAATTAAGCCTGAATGCCTTCCATCCCCCCATAGGCACTGTATAATCCTACGGGTTTAGTGCTTCCCCCTTGATTATAATAATAATTGAGGTTCCTAAAACTGTATTCCCTGGAACGCAAGCGGGAGAGATACATGATTATATACACCTGGAAAATCCTAGAGGGAGGAGTACCGAACTTGCACACGAAAATCACTCACTATGAAGGCAAAAGACTTGGCAGACAATGCAACATCCCCCCAATGAAAAGCAGGGGTGTCACTAGCACGTTAAGAGACCATACAATAAGTGTCAGGGGCCCCGAGACTGTTCAACTGCCTCCCAGCATACACTATCTAGGCTGGAATATTGCTGCACTCTAACAGCACCTTTCAAGGCAGGTGAAATTGCCGACCTAGAAAATGTACAGAGAACTTTCACGGCGCGCATAACGGAGATAAAACACCTCAATTACTGGGAGCGCTTGAGGTTTCTAAACCTGTATTCCCTGGAACGCAGGAGGGAGAGATACATGATTATATACACCTGGAAAATCCTAGAGGGACTAGTACCGAACTTGCACACGAAAATCACTCACTACGAAAGCAAAAGACTTGGCAGACGATGCACCATCCCCCCAATGAAAAGCAGGGGTGTCACTAGCACGTTAAGAGACCATACAATAAGTGTCAGGGGCCCGAGACTGTTCAACTGCCTCCCAGCACACATAAGGGGGATTACCAACAGACCCCTGGCAGTCTTCAAGCTGGCACTGGACAAGCACCTAAAGTCAGTTCCTGATCAGCCGGGCTGTGGCTCGTACGTTGGTTTGCGTGCAGCCAGCAGCAACAGCCTGGTTGATCAGGCGCTGATCCACCAGGAGGCCTGGTCACAGACCGGGCCGCGGGGGCGTTGACCCCCGAAACTCTCTCCAGGTAAACTCCAGGTATGGCCCATTTTAGGAAAGTCTTAAAGGAACAGGAGTTACAGAGCTCTATGGACAGATTTGCTGTGCGACAGAGGTCCAGTGACTCTCAAGCTGGTCCTAGTGGCATTAAAAGAAGGAAAGTAACCCCAGAAAAGGACTTGCTACCTCAAGTCCTAATGGAAAG